CTCCCGCAGCCCTGCCTGCCTCCCTTCATCCCCTCATCCTCTCTAACGGCACCTTCGTCCATCCCCTCAATCTGCCCGTGTCTCGACCCCTCTGCCGACACCTCCAGCCGCTCAGCACGCCCGTCTACCCAGGCCTCTCTACATCCTTCTCCTCAGCCTCGCCTCTTGCCATGGCTTCCCACCCCTTAGCCCCCACGGTCCTCCCCATCGCTCGCCTTTGGCTTCCTAATCCACATCTGTCTATCCCTCCAGCTCCTGCATTCCATTCCTGCATCAAACTCCTCCGTTTCTCCAGGCAGCTCCTGGTTTCCCTCAGCCAGTCGCTTGGCTCCTCCCGCCCTGGCTCGATCGATCTCTCAGTGCTTCTCTCAATCTCCCATCCAGGCCTCCCCATCCTCAGTCTCTGTCACATTTCCAAATTCTCCAGCCCCTTGTCCTGCACCACATCTGTCTGTCCACTAGCCCACTCGTGTTGCCAGTCTCCTTTTTGCGTATCTGTCCTCTTGTTCTTCCCCTGCTCTTCACTTTATAATCCCCCAGTTTGCCCATCAGACTGCCCAGGACCATTCCCGAGCCCTGCATCCATCTTTCTGTGATTCCCTTAAGAGCTGCCTCACTTTGCTTTAGGTTCCTCCTGCAGTCCAGGCCCCTTAGTCCTCCCTCTCCATGTTTTGGGTGCTCAGATGCTCTACCACTCCTGATTCTTAGGCTAACAAAAGCATTTCCAGGTTCTGGGGTTTTCCTCCAAGTTGCCTTCCCTTGACACCCTGACATGTCTTTTCCTTAGCTCAATTTTGCTCCAGTTTGTTTTCTTGCCCAGAAAAGCTAATTCACAGAGCCTGGCTTTGATCTTAAGGTTTTATTTTAATCCTGTTTTTCTCTCTCACCCATTGATAGATTTATATGGCCCCTTGGAGCGGCAGCATCATCCCCAGACTGCAAACAAGAGTCGGAAGCAAACGCCAAGAGAAAAAGCCTTCCAGCAGCAATGTCAGAAGCTGGGGTTGCAGGGTGGAGCAGCCTCTGTTCCTCCCGAGCAGTTGCTTTCTGTACCAAAACACAAGCCTGGTCATCCTCAGCAGCCTGTGCCATCACCTCGTGCTCCTCCACTGGGAGATGAAAGGCAAAGTGAGAACCAAGAGCAGCAGGAGGAACCGACCCCAGCAGATCCCCGTGACGGCAGTGACCGAGCACAGACCCACACCCCAAAGCCCAGCTCCTGTGTGGAGAAAAAGAAAGTGGCATTGTTAGTAAGTTGGTAAAATCAGGGGATGGGTTGTTTTCTACATTGACTCATTCTTTCATTGTTCAGTAAAGTGAACTTCCCTCTTAACAGGAAAGTCTGAGAGATCACGTTTGCTTCCTCTGCGTTAAACCTCTGTTTTTCATCTCTACTTGGGTTAAACCTGGTTCAAGACCAAATTCCATAGTGCAATCCATGCAGATAGTTTCCTGTGGTAATGGGACTGTACATCGTCAAGCACCCAAGCACCACATTTAGCTGCAACAACCACCTCCTGTATCTGCCAAATTCATCTCAGCCTGTGCACTTGCATTTAAATCTTATCGAAAGTTTTTCTATATGAGGTTTTAGGAACAGACTGATGAGGAGAAGTCTGAAGAGATATTCTTGTGCAGGAATGGTTGTTAATATTAACATGGCTGAGAATATTTGGGTATTTTTAAGCTAAGCTATTTTCAAGCTGAGACTTACTGTGAGAAGGCATGAGGAACACAACAGGGTAGAAAAGCAGCAAAGCAGGTTTTTTTTTCTCCTTAATTCTGCCCAGTTGTATTGACACAGGTTGTCCCCTCTCACCTGAGACCTTGCCTTCCATCCTCTGGGTCTGCTTGTATTTCTTAGTAGATAGAGCCTAGGAAATGGAATCCATAAAGCTCTTTCCC